TTGAAGAATGCACGTCAAAGGTCAAGACAACAGCACCCTCGGTGAAATCACCGATGGTCAGTATGTCGCCGAAACCAGGCGCTGTCGGTTGTTGACCCTAGTTGACCTCACATAAACTGGGGAAATGTGCATCGTAACTCTCGGCGGGACATTGACTGTCATGCGATGATGGGACTCAGACTAGCGCTGCGCTCAACATGATCGTTTTGGGAAGGGGTCAATCAATTCTTCGTGGAGTTACTTTTACGCGGTAACAACTTTTGTTGAGACGGCAGGGATCAATATTCTTTTCAGTTTTCTGTTCGCACATTTTCCAATAACATTAATGCTTTAAATGTGAGTATTAGAGATGTGAATCGGATACCATCTTTTTGGTATACCGATACCAAACCGATACCGATTTGATATTTGGTATTTCAATCCGAATATGTTTCGTATTTTGTTGGTATTATAAGCCCTCACTTTTGTATAAAAGGCTGAGAAATTGGTAAAACGTTGGTATTTCCCTCATGTTTGCAAGTTGGTTCGGTTTCGGTATTTCCTAACGGTCTTGGCTGGCATTTGCTTTGGTATCGGTATTCCGATTTTTTTTTGTAATTGACATCACTAGTGAGTATATCTTAGGTCATAAGTCAGAACATCAATACTTTTAATTCCAGTTCAGCGTGTGGTCTGATTTGATTTCGGCTGATGAAAGTATTTATTGGTGGACAAAGGGCTTGAAGGGCTTCAGCGGTCTTCAAAGATCTATAGTCCAGTCTTCAAAAGTTTGCACGTTACAGTGCGGCAGCTTTTACTTGTGATGACTGCTTCGTGATCGAGGAACTTGAAACTTTTCTGCACTTTTAATCGCGGCGTTTTGCACCGCAAAGCTACACGGTATGTGAATTAGCCATTTACATTGGCACTTCCGCCGCTCGTTTCTGGCAGCCGTGCGGGATGCTCTGACCTTCTCTCTCCTCCGGGGCGGGGGCGGGGGCGGGGGCGGCGGTCACCGCCAACGGCCACGGTGACCGATTGTGACTGATTGCTGGTAAGAGGGCGAGCCTGCAGGGTATTTGTGTATAGCGGCGAATGGATTGATGAAGCATCTGCACCTCTGCCGACGGCGGCGGAACGGATCGGTAGTCAGAACGTTGGTCGGCCGACCGTGGCATCGGATTATACATGGGGAACATGTATCTGGAATGGCCCTGACAACGAGAATGACCTGTTGAATGAACCGTTTACTTGGTAGATTCCGTAACAAAAGCTTAAATTAGGAAAACAGTTTGGAATGTGACGATTGGAAGGTAGGTATATCCTACGCTGTAACATATTTTAGGCTGCGTGGTTGACATTTTTATGTCGATAAGATTTATGTGAAATGGATATCCGAAAAGTAAAAAGGCAATCAAAATATACAGCGCTGATTTTTTTGCGTTTAGCGAGTATTTTAGCCTGTGAATTTGGTAAAGTAGTGCTCCTGTTGTATTGAATTATATTGCCGCCGCTAGATGGCACTAAAGTTAGCGCCTGAAGTTAGCCTGCGCCGCAAAGCCCTTACTCTTGGCTTGCGTATGGCCGCGCGCTCGGGGATTCGGCGATAAGCTAAAACGTTATTCGTCATTGCTAGATGATACGCTTAAAATGCTCTGGCAGATATTCGATAAGTAATAAGCTGCTTATTTTTACATTTGTTTTAGCGTTTGTTTTAGCTGAAAGCTTCAGTTCGGGCCTTCTTGACTGTGAGAGATATCAATCAGGCTACTGAAGAAATTGTTCGAACTACACATTTGTTTTTGAGCTCTGCTAAAGGTTACACTAGACATTCCTCTAGGACTAATACTAACTCTATAGTAATCTGTTTAGATATGTGTTAAAGACGCGTAGGAATCCGCCGCTGATCTTGATCTTTTTTTTTTTTGCTCCGCGAGTTTTTTTTCGTTATCCTTTACCACACAGGATGAGACTTTTTGGACGAGCGTGCACCTCGACTCGGGTCTGTTTGCTGTCATTCTGGCCGCTCGGCGACCCTGCAGCGACAGCCAGCTGTCCTCTCTCCCACTGTTTATATCGGGCTGACCACTCACACGGTTTGCCTGTGATGACGTCACTCGTCTGGCGATGTTGGCCGGGCGGTACAGCTGCTGTCGTTAAGCTGAGACACAAGTATGTTTTATCCATTACAGGTATTCATTTTACTTATTATTTGACGGAACTGAGCCTAGAAAATCCCATCCGCACTCCACTACATACACACTTGTCATTTAGCATACAAGTATTCTGTATTCTGTATTTATTAGATCGCCAACAGGCCCATCGCCCTTTTACTGACGAAGTCAGTTACACACAAGCAATACACAAGATGACAGTACCTACATAAGAATAAACGTAAGAAAATGTGATAAATACGGTAAATTTATAATCGGCAGGAGTATATAGTTATTGAGTACAAGATAAAATCACAGGAACAGTAGACATAAAATCGGTTCATGAGAAAGAACTACCTATGACTAAGGAGTAAGAGGTCACACTATGACTAATAGGTAAGAAGTCTCATAGACGGTACCTACATACAAGATCGATAAAAGTAAAGCACGTGAGTATGATGTAAAAGATCACATGAAAGTGCCTTGCGTAATTGTGAAGCCGATAGCGCGTGTTTTAAATGAGTATGAACTACCAGTAAAGAAGTCGGTGGTCGGGTCATGGAGCAAGAATGAGTTGCATGCAGCTGGGATCCTGACAAACAAACATCGTTGCACAGTGTTCACTCGCGCGCGCGGTGTGTTCCACAGAACCGTGCTCCTCGTCCTCCGTGCCGGTACGGCAAGACCGAACGCACCGACTAACACATCATTGTCCAGCTTCCCACGATGAATGTGGAATAAAAACATGATATCGTACTGTATGAATCTGGACTTGATGGAGCGCACTTTAAAATGTGAGAGTAAAACCAAGTAGTCCAGGTGCCGGTCAGCATCAGCTCGTACACCACAAGTGAGGCGTCCCTCGTCAGACCGTGTCGGGGAACTAGCACAATCCAGCTCGAAGCGGTTCCTGGCCGAAGTGAGTGGTTCACACAGATGCCAAGTCAACACCCTAATATATTTGTTTTACATTATAACTCGCTATTTTGACCATCCCTCAGCTGCGCAATCAGTACTCTCATTCTGTGCCCTGCTTTAGTTTTTGCACAGATTACAGTAGTACTACTGTTATCTGTGGTTTTCGGTTGTTACAGGACGCTTATTAGCGATTCTTTGGTAGGTGTCACGCACAAATTTCGTAAATCGTGGGATGGGTACAAACAAAAATACAGTATGATCATTTATTTGAAGGGAATATTTCCACGTTTTCGATTTAAGCCCTTACGTGCGCACATTCTACTTTCTGGCAACTTAATCATCTGCTTGTGGCAACTAACCTGTAAATATTGTGTATTACGTTTGTTTTGGAAGCGGTGTTACCTACCACAGAGAAGAAGCGGTGTTACCTACCAAAGAGAAATACCAGGCCTCAGGGTTTTCATAACAAGGTATTATGTTACATCCAAGCAAAGCAAACTTGAACGGTTGGGGTGCGAGGCGCTTGAATATATTGCCAGACAAATCATAGACGTTTTTGGTGCCGTCACTTAAACAATTTTAACACATTTACAAATTAAATTAGGCGTCTTTGTCTCGACTCTTAAAAATAGAAGGATAAATAGTTTGGCTTTCTGAATTATAACCGTCCCAATTTTAACTGAATAAGGTGATGCCTTTTATTTTTAAATGTGTAACAACGAAAGAAAGCCCGTTCGATGTGTTAGCGCAAATATCCATGTGACAGACAACTGTAGGTAATAAAAGTATTTATCCGTGAATCCAACAAACCGTATAGGACGTCAGTTACCTGTCGGTAAGGAACAATGACGAACATTTGAAAAGGACCACAGATCACATTTACAAATTAAATTAGGCGCGCTATCATGCCATTACCTTCCTGCATTGCTCACCCTGTTGGGGCTTTGTCGTATGACGTCATCATTATATGACGTATGATGCCATTGAATGTATAACGTCACCTATGACGTCACCTCTGACTGTGGTTGCGCACAGCGCCCTCTCGCGTACCGTCGCACGGAGAGCGTCTCCATTATCGGTCAGCTGTTATGTCGCCCGGCGCGAGCCAGTTCACCGCACGTCGCGACAGCGGCCGGCCCAGTTCGGCTGTGACGTGGCGCCGCACACATACAGCCTCACACAGCCGTGCATACACACACAGGTGCGCCAGTGAGGCGGGCGACCTTCCCCTGAGAGGCACGTGTCGAGCGGCGACGGCACTTGGCAGCGAGCCGCCCCTGTCGCGACGCCGTCGACGGTGCCGTGTGCGGCGACCCGACGACGGTGGCGACGAGGATACTGTGGATTCTGAGACTGTGAAGGTGGTGCGAGCAGTGACGGTTACTTGAGCGGTGGCAGTGGTGGGAGTAAGTGAGGACACTACGAAAGACGGCGTTTTAATGTTGTGACGGTGGGGAATTTTGTGCAGTAGCCGCGATATCACGGTAACTAGCCACGTTTTAGAATGAAGCGATAGCGACTGAAAAGGTGATTGTGGTCGATCATAAGGTGGAAGCAGCAGCGAAACAAGTGGGAGAATATTTGGTGAAATAGGTGGTGGAAGAGGAACACTTTATTCGAGCGCGGTACCCCAAAGTTGAACATTGTGAAACAAACAGGCAGGGGTGGCAGGGCACTTATCAGTGACTTGCTATCAGGATATGAACTCGGCCGTCTCCCTCGCCCTCCCTCTCGCTCAGTGCTGAAGCTGTGTGCCAACTGTGTGCTGTGAACGTGCTGTGTATCGGGGACAGAAACATCACCAGAGCACAAGTGTTGGTGAGGCGTGTATCCTGACTCAGGGATTTTTATTGGCGAGGCAGCGAGGCTTGTATCTTCACCCAGACTGGTGAAGCGTGGATGATCCGGCTCACCGTTCAGGGATATTCAATTTTGAATTGACAACCAACAAGTGTGGTGAATAAGTGAATGCGATTTTTCTGAAGCATAAGTGACGGGCGTGGCATACAGCCGTAAGTGACGCTAATGTGACAGTCGTTGGCATGACTTGGCACCCACCTGTTCACAATTACAAGCCCTCTGCCACAATCAAGTGGTGAGCGGTATCCCGCTTTGCGCCGGAAGTGAAGACACCTCAGAGATGATGGCTCACCAGCGTCTGCAGGAGCTAGACGAGGACTGGAGGAGTGACGGCAGGCCCAGCCTGACCTCGGAGACAGACATGCTGACCGCGGACGCCGACGGCGCCGAGCTGACCTCGGCAGTAGACTGGATATCTCAGAAGGGACGCTCCGCCCCGACCTCGCGGGGAGGGGGACCCGAGAGTCGCGCCTCATCCACCAGAAATCGACACGCGTCCGGGCTGTCGACCGGCATGCAGTCGCGACTGGGCAGTCTGCGGCGAGGAGTGGCCTCTGTTCGACGAAGGTGAGGGTTGGCGTGATGGAAACTTCCACACTGTACCGAAGAGAGGAGGAATGTGTGTTTACTATCGGACTGCCCTTCTAAATCTCCAAAGACCTTGGCTAACACTAAACATTGTCCTTAACAAGTAAATATTTTACCAGTCTCACTCTATTACAGTTATTTTATTTATTTCTATTTCATTGCCATGGTGTCATCAAATCACGAGCATGGTCATAGTATAGGATTGAGAGCTGCGTCTTTTCATTTACTGTGACGGCTAGTACCTATCTCATCGCTATAACATGGTGAGATAGGACGCATATACGAAGTTTTAATGGCCCCGTGCCCTGGTATATATCAAATCCCTATCATCAAAGGTAGCATTCATTGGAGACCTGAGACGTCTGCCAAAGCAGCTAGTGTCAGCGATCGAAGGAGATAGCGCGTTTATTTACTCACACTTATGTGACGAATGACGACAGGATAGTTTTCAATGAAAAAGATATACCGGGCTTCTCACAAAAGTCGGATGAATTTATAATTAATATATTTTAGGATGTGTCAGTGTTACAAAAATAAATCAGGTATCACCTGAAAGCCTGGTTAAAAATGTTTTGTTTCAGGGGAATTCGACCGTCGGCGATCGCCTAACTGAGCCGCGCCGAACCTGTTCGAGATGACCCCCGTTTCGCTCGATGCAAAGTTAAGCCCGGCGCAGCGCGGCCTCTGTTGCAGCACGGCACACGGAAGGTGGCAGCTGAACACACTGCCGACCTCACTGCACCCTTCAGGTCTTTGGGACTTCTTGGGTGGTTTCGGAACACCTGGGACTTAAGGTGGTCCTACAGGAAAAAGTCCGATGGGGTCAAGCCCGGGGAGCACGCTGGTCACAGATGTGTCTCAAACCTCGAGATCACACGCTGCCCGGAGCGCTCCTGCACCCACTCCCGGTTTTCATTAGCGGTATTGGCCGTGGAAACGTCTAGTCTAGCTGGAACTATTGGCATTTGAGTGCTTCAGGATCGCCGCCCATTGTGGTCTGCAGGACACTCCAAAAATTTGTCAGGGTCATCCGGTATCACTGACCGTTGACAGCCTGGGTAGCGCATCTCTCACACGAGCGACGTTCGCCGGGCTTCTTTGATTGGGTTTGCAGCCGCCGCTGTGTTCTTTGAACCAGCAGTTAACATTTCCTCGGCCCAGAAACTTTCAACAATGTGAAATATGTTCACTTTGCAAAAAAAAAAAGATTGCGGAAGTTCCGTTTTGTTGAAACGACCGACTTATTCTGAAAGTAGAATTTCTTTGAGTTTGCTTTTGCGTCTTAAGACCACAGTCTCATTTTTTAAACTCAACAAGTATGGTATCATATAAATCTTCTAAAAATTTGCTTTCTTTTCACGTGCATTTGTTTCGTTTAAATATTGTTTCCAGTCCACTATCTGCAAAAGAAATTGGTCCGACTTTTGTGAGAAGCCCGGTACGAGTACACGATAGAATGAAATGGTTTACATGTGCTGTTTGTTGGAGCCCGTTGCCATATTACAAGCGTGACTCTACATAGGCTTGGAATACATGGTGTCCGCCGCATGCAATGTAAGAATCTTGCATGCAACTGTTCCAAGATATAGCTATCCTTTGATACGGTGTAGGACGAGTTTTGCTACTGTATAAATAGTCGCCAGACGGTCAATGGATAAGCTTTGTTTGAATCTGATCACATTTTGAAGCGCTGCGTGTTTGCATTACTGCTGATAAGATTGAAATTAAGAGCTACCTTAAAAAGTGATTGCCCCTTGCGCAGTCCTTAATTATGTTCCTATTTTCCTACAATCTTCTTATCTCCGATATTTTCCTCCCAAACGCACTGCTGGCTCCACCCCACCCGCCAGAGCGTATAGACACAATCGATTGTCACCCGCGACCCGTCCGCTGTGCGTGTGTGTGCGTGTGCATGTGCGTGTGCCCCAGGACATCTGGGAATCCTAGCCGAGAAATGGAAGAAAGTACGTACCTTATATGAACCTGGTGGATGATTCCATAATGCCTCGCTGCTTCTAAAACGTTATATGCTTTTGCTCCTTTGAAATTAATTGCTGATAGCGATTAAAATGAATAAAAAGTAAAAACCATGTGATTGAGATAGTCACTTTGAAATTTTATAAATGAAAGTAAGCGATCGACCTAAATACTGCTATTTATGTCCAAAGTTGAGTCACTGAAGTATTTTCTTCACAAGCCTTTGATGTTCAAATTCTATGTTCAAATTTACAAAGTCATTGGGAGGAAGCCATAAGTTGCTCAGGTCGATGGCTATGTCCCTGGATTAATTCAGCTCGGCGTCTCGCATGTCACCATCAGTGTCGTCCTAAATAATGGACATCAAAACACAGCATGCTCTTTGCAACTCCTCGTGCATGTTTTTACTATTTATTGGCAGCCTTTGTATTATAAGATGAAAGCGTTCCGAAATGACAAAAATGATGTGCAATGGTTTTCGTCACCTATGCTTCGAATCCCGAATGCGTTTAATTTCTTTTTTTTCCTATCTCCATAACTCACTGGCGCTTGTGTGTCTACATTTTTCTTTATCTGGTCACAGACATCATAACTCGCTGATTGGCAAATTTCTGGTATGCTGAGCTGCGACCATTGGGCCAGAGCTCAAAGACAGGTCCTATCGTGACTAGATTCGGGGTTGAAACTGCAGAGCTGAGCTGCGGTGGGGTTCGGGCCGGGGCTGGGAACTGCGGCCGAGCTGCGGATGGGGTCGGGCCGAGGCTGTGATCGGTGCTGGTCTCGGGTTGGGCTTGGGTCGGGGTGAGACTGGAGCTGGAGCTAGAGCTGGGGCTGGGTTGTGATTGGGGGTGAGACTGGACTGGGGCTCCGCCCGGACTAGGCGTAGGCTGGGACTCCGTACCAGCGGGGCTCGGTTTGGGACTCTGAGCCGCGGCCGAACCCGCTCCCCCGTGACACCCGATCCGGCTCGGCTCGCCAGGAGGGCCTCCGACGGGCGATCGAACCACGGCGCCCGCTGAGCGCGGCCCGACCGCAGCCCGCTGAGCGCGGCCCGACCGCAGCCCGCCGCTCCCAGCTGCCGGAGCGGGTCGCCGCTTCGTGCCAGTGCAGCTCCTGGTTGCCAAAGCAGCCATCGCTGGTGTACTTATCTGTTGCCGGTTCAGTTCTTTGTCAGTGAAAATCCCTGTGTTCAGCTCAGTTCTTTCGTTAGAGGCCTTGTTCGCTGCATGCTGTCGTTGCAGCTCTGTTTACTGACGCCTTGGGTGTCAGGACAGCTATCTGCAGTTATTGCAGTCATCTGTAGGTATCTGCTGTTATTGCATTTATCTGCAGCTATCTGCTCCTGTTGCAGCTTTCTGACGGCACTCGGGCCGCTGGCTTTCCACTTATAGATGCTGTATCACTGATAGCAATGGAATTGTGCAACATAAATGCATATGCCAATAAAAATAAAAGTGCACAAAGACAAGCAAATACGTTTATGGGTAAAGCAGCTCCACAAAGTCCCTCGACACATCCGGTGTCACTGGCCAATCCCGTGACTGGACACACTTCCCTGATAGAATACGGCGGCTCTGCACTTGCAGTGCCGCTGTGACTGGGCGCCCCACGGGAGTCGGCCTCAGCCATTAGAGGTCACGCAGGGGGTGCAGAACACCGGCACAGCGTACCCAGCCCCGACACATTCTGCCGACATAATGTGCAAATCCGCCGCAATGAATTGCTGGCAATGCTGTTTCATGCATGTGGTTGCTGGAGTACAGATCACTTAGTTCCGCTTTGAGGAGTGTCGTTAAGAATCCAGCGTACCCGGATGTTGTTATTGGGTCTTAGCATTTTTTTGTGTCCCTTGTGAAATAAGCATGTAACTATTCTACATATGAGTGCTTAGTGAGTAGTGATATGTTTTCTAGAATCTAGTAAACCCCTAAGACTAACAAGATTTTGAAATGACTTCTTTCAGTTGTATCCTAATTGCACTGAGAGAACCACTTTCAGTCCAACGCATGGCGCAAAAACTGACCCACAAAGTCTCAAAGGATGTTGCCCCAGTTCGCGCTCTTCAGTGACCGTGTCGGTGGTGTCCGGAGCGGCCATTCTGAGGGGCGGTGCTCCGGGCCGGTGTGTTAGCACTTCCGAGTGCTGTCTGCGTCTGAATGACGGGCGTGTCGCCCGTATCGACCCTGATGAGCGTCATCGCGCTGGGCGACTCGGCTGGTGGGTTTGGAGCGAGTTGCAGTGGCTGGCCGGCGCCCACATACCCACCCACGGGACAACCGCTCACTCGCCGCAGTTTAGTCGAAGCAGCAGGAACCCTCTCGCGTTAGAGTGAATGTCAAACTTATAAAATATAACGAGCATTGGAATGCTGGCACGTGGTTAAATCGGCTCAGTCACAGTATTTCTTTTTTATATTTTTTTATGCTGGGAGCTCATGTGTTCATGTCTCGCCCATAATCGGCACTATTTTGTACCGTGTCGCTTATCGGGATTACTTACCCCGCAAAGACGCTACCTTCTTCAGGTCATAACGGTGTTTCTCCTAGCACAGTATAACTGCCGCATTTATTGCCACCAATCAACGGCATTGTGGTATGTTTTATGCATGACAGACGGGTAAATGCTGATCCACATATAAATGGGTTAGGCTACTCACTGACAGTTGTCTTCCAAGGATAAGGAAGTATAGTGGTGTCATGAGAATTATGTCCAGGTATTGCTTTTGAAGCGAGTCTGCTTAGCACGCGGTCTTTGCGGCTTGCAACTTATAAGCCCATGTGGAAGCTTGTACCCGCCAATTGATCACCAAGTATGCGTTTGAACTTTGCCTAATGATTCTTACCTGGACGTCTTTGTCTAGTAAATTGCTCCTCGGTACCCCTCAAGTGACATTGATGGATTTGGTCTCCTTGAAACCCAAACAATAGGCATTTATCCGTAGTTAAACTCGCTGCTCCTTGCACACTAACGTCTTTTCCCGTCCCAACTGAAGATAGTTAGTGCCCGGTAGCTGAAGAGCAGGATGTTTGACTGGTTTATCTGACTCTGGTTTCGTTTCTGGTTTCAGAGTGGGCCACCTAAGAGCAGGCACCATGGCTGGCGAGGGCGTTTGCTGGTGTCTCGTCCGAATCCTTTTACCATTGGGCTTCATCATTGGTAAGTCCAACTGCCTAAAATCCAACCTCAGCATAGGCAAGTTCAACGTATGGCTGCATATCTATTTTTCAATAGCGTCCCGAGTTGTCGTCAGTAGTCAGTGCCTGAAGTTATGCTGCGCCGCAATACAAGCTTACATTCTTCACGCTAGATGTCGCTAGTAGTAGGCGCCTGAAGTTATGCTGTTCCGCAATACACGATAATGCGCGCAGTGAGTAATACCGTTACAATTGAGTTTTGATCGAATATTTTTTTTTTATAATGAAATGGTTTTTGAATTGGTTACTGAAGCCTTTTCACATCAACTCTGGGAATTTCATCATACCTTGTAGAGTTCCTGCTGTATAACGCAGCAACGCTCCATGAATTAGGTATAGGTACCCATGAATTCAAAGTTATTAAAACAAAAAGTCGTGGAAGCACATAAAATAACATATTTTTACTGTTTTAATTATCACACTTCTCATAGCTCCCCACCAGATTCAGGTAGGCGCGTGCCTCATGATCTCATTTCAGCCAGGCCCTTACTACTCTGCCAATACCCTACTTCCGGCTATCTGCTCCGGGGCAGGGGAGGGGCAGTGCTGCCTTTAGTACGGACATCCCGGCGGGTGAGTCGGTCGTTTTCGGGCGCCGACCGCAGAGGGCCTGATTGGCCGCTCCACGGTCCCCAGGTGGGCCCGCCATACATCCTCATATAATGAGAGCGCGGAAGTTGGCGCATCGATTCGCCCGGCGCCGCGCTGTGGAGTCAGGTTATTGGTCCGGTGGCGCCGTGGCGGCGGGGGAGGCTGATCTGCCGAGTAGGGGGCACAGGGGCTGTCAGCATCGCTGCAGGCCGTGTGGACGCCCAACAGCGGGGGTTTGTCGACGGGCGGCGGCGGACTGTTTTCAATCGGTCATTGGGCATTCATGATTTGCTATAGCGAACGATAACGCGAAGACGGTGTTTGGTGAAGGTTTTTGGACAATTTGCGAATGAATGAATGCTTTTCGTTATACAATGGTGTATGACGTGCTGTGGCTTTACTCCGCCACGTGTGTATGACTAATAAGGATGATTGCCCATCATAATGTAATAATAGCTGCCCTTGTGTTCTGATGTCTATCGATATTATGACTGGTCAACAATTTCCATGCTAATGTTTTAGTTTAGGGACCCGGGACCATTTGTTTGTGGACTCCTTTTTTTATTTAGAAAAAAAATTGCTCGAATATTTGAATGAACGGATTGACTGGTCCGGAGCTCACGCTAAGCAGAGCTTGTTGCGTAGACTCGTACACCAACCGTCCGATCACGTAATTCCGGGTAATGCGAGGATTTAGATGCCAAAATTTAACGTTTGCCACAGTTTGCCACAGTTTAACGTGTCTTTAAAGCCGGACAAGGCCTGTCCCACTCAACTGACTTTAACTGGCTGCGGCTGCTCCCACCAACCGCAGACCATCCCCGCCAGGAGTCGCAACTATCGAGCGCCAGAGCGACTCGATCCCGGGCTCTCACTACCGGGAGTCCAGCGCTCTAATGAATTGTATCACTGTATTGATTATGTCCTATTTATTGATTTTATACAGTGTACCTTCTCAGACTTTTAGGATTTTGAGAAAAAAATTGTAGCTGTAACAGGTGTTGTCCGGTACATTTCAAGATTTTTTTTAAGCAATAAAGACGGCTGCAGGTCACGAAGCTAAGCTGTTTTGCCGTCATTTTGCTGCTATGCTAGGAGAGTGGATTGGTGTCGGTGAGGCGTCCGTTAGCCTAACTGCTATACTGCGCCCTATAAATATTTATGTTCTGACTGTGGACACTAAGATGTTACCTCAGTGCTTACTGTTAAGTCGCCATGCTAACCTGAAGTTGGTTCGATCCGCTGGCGACTGCAGGGGGGGGGGGGGGGGGCATGGGTTCATGCCCTTTCCAAGACACGTAGGCACGACCGACAAGCCTTCTTCAACGCCCAGTTTTGAACATTAACCCTATGACATTGCATGGAACGAAATAGTAGACCGACCATCAGTTCGTCCCTGCTCTCCCCCCTTTCAGCCGTGGCTGAGGCTGTCGTTGGCTCACACACTCAGCTCCTCAGCTCTCGCTCATCCTTAGCGACATGTCACCCTATCATTGGTTTGTCATCAATTTGGATTGGCACCAGCTCAGCAGCGGGGAGGGTCAATGCATATATGCACTGCGCCGGCTCTTTGGCCCAGTTTTTATGGATTGTGCCACTTGCCGACAAGCCTCAGCGTTCGCCACTAGTTGGCGGCGGGCCAGGGGGCTTGTGAGGTCAATGTCACTGCCTGGCCGGGGTGATGGGGTGCTGACCGCTCCTCCTCTGTTCGAGTATGGTGGGTCGGTGGTGTCGCCTGTCGTAGCTGGATTTGAGTCGGTCCCTGGTCGTTCAGGAATGTCAAATAGCCGGAGAAGTATTTATTTATGTTGGCGATGTTGGTAAAGGTAAACTAAACCATTTATCAGCTTTAAACAGTGTGAAGTTGTCTCATCAGCTGAGATAAACGAAATTTCAGGTTTCTTTCAAACCTTGATTAATTTCTACCTGCTTCAGAGCTCTTGCATTCTTTCTTTAGTTATTTCTGACACACTGCGGGGCGGCGATGTTTGTTCTACATTTATTATAACGAATGAACGCTAACAACAACTTATCATTTTAAGCATGCTTGATTCATTACAACATTTAGCACAGCCCACAAACCATCCTCGCTCTATTTCCGTTTTGGACGGCAGTCCTGCCTCCCACTCGCCCCCGGTCACCCTGCCTGTGTGTTGTCCTAATGGGAACTCAGCCAGCGTGGCCGGACCTGTCAGAGGCCTGATTAATTATCCAAGAGGATGTGTCACGATACGGGGACATGACTGTGCGGATTGACCTGTGGAAGGATCGGACCGCGGCAGCATGCAATGATGTGTGCTTCTGTGGGTATTAGCTCAATCATAGATATGTTTGAAATATCTGTGGAATGGAAGTTTCGAATATCTATACGTTTGGAATGGGTGAATAAATTTCTGAATCCGTACATACACTGAGATAAGGCTACCTGAAATGGAGTTGGCAGCTCGAGAAACTCTGATACAAGCGATTTTCGATGGTTGTTACCTAGTTAATCTTAAATTTGAATAACCAAAACCGGTTCTTCATACGTTCGCTTCAGTCTACGGCGATATTATCCTGCCCTCCCATAGGGGAAGCCGGGGGAAGCCCGGGCGCGGGGGAAGCCCGGCCACCCCGTTTCCGGCTAAATTATTCACAATAAAATGCTCAACTGTTTGTCCTTTCAGTGTGGCAGCTAAGGTAACGCCAGCAAAAAAGTTAAGGCTAACAAAAAAATGTATATTGTTAAAATTATAGAGCAAAAATGATATTTTAAGGGGTTTTAGCTAAAAAGTGAGATATGTTGCACTGTTAATGTTATACCTACCATACAGTCCTAATATTTATACGAATGTTATGTAAGGACCGTTTAAGTGTTTGTAGTGAGGGGTGACGAGGCAGGCTGGCTTAAGTATGACATTTTTTCGAACATCACTGTTCTAAAATAAAAATTCGCACATTGGGGTAACCCCGGGCGAGTGGCCAAGCTTACCCCCGACCGAGAGCAATGCCACTAAACCACTGTTTTCCATGAGATAATAGGTACTGAGTAGGTTTGGTTTACACCTAGATCAATGATAAATTTCGAAAATAAACATGTTATCATAGACAAAGCTTCTTCGGCCTGTCGCTCTATTCCAGTGCCTATAAATATCAGGTATGGATGAAGGGCGATTGCTGGCCTGGTTTTTACTGTAAATATGGGAGATATCCGCTCCATTTTAACGGTTTTTAGTTACCCTTCATCAGTTTATATCAACAAGTGACTAAGTTTATGTTTGTATGCTACAGGAACAGTCATGTCACTTGAGGTCAACCAGGGTCAAACTACGTTTTTGCAAATAACGCGACAGACAGTGAAGCTAGAGCTTCAAAAATGGTGCCGTTGTGTTCTTCGTCATCAGCCGAGTCGAATGATTGCAATGTGATGCATTTAGGTAAATAAAAAATAAATTTTAAGGAATTTTGAAATACACATTTTTTTTGTCAATTTTGCATTACGATTTTCATCGACCTGTACTGTATATGTGGTAGACGCTAGCTAAAATACCATAGTGACATAAGCTCTAAGATGTCCAGAGCTAATCAGCACCTTAATATTTCACTTTCCGTCAATATTTGGAAGACACATAATGGTTTACTCAACTCGTTGTAAAGCGCTGGGGAGGTGGCCGGCGTTACCCCTATGCCGGGCTTACCCCAGAAAAATCAACACTTTTTTAAAACTCGATTTTCTCAACCTTATACTATTTCCACGAAACCGAATTTTGGGAAAACACGGCCAATTAACTTATCTAGATAACAGGATATCAACAATTTTTACAGCACGTTTGGTATGTAATAAAAACAAAAAAGAGCTTACTATGCCGGGCTGCCCCCGGCTTCCCCTACACTCCGTCAGCGCCTGGTCCACTGCGGGCCCGCATCTAATGTGCGCGCGTGTATGTGTGCGCGTGTGCCGGCGGGTGTTTGCTCGGCCTGATTTGCTATGACAGTCGGCCGAGCACCGGTCATTGACGGGTCCCCCCTGTCATCCGCGGTCGGTGGCGGGCTGTTGTGCCGCCCGGTCTTATTGGTCTGTGACTGCTATACGGTGGGCGGCACTGCCGACCCGTTTATAGGCACTGCTCAGTGGTTATGAACCGTGCAGCTGATGGCGATGGTAACCGTGTGACTCCTGGTTACATCAAATGTAGGCAAGGGATACGTTTTTTTTTTTTGCCTGGTATATGTAAGGGATAACGCTTACGCAATAGTATTCATTCCTGCGGGTTATACTTCTTCCTTCTTTCTAACTACTTACGTAGATATCTTGCCTGGGCTCTATATTTTTGCCTCGGTCTTAATCAAATAGCTTTGGCATTTATATCTCCACTGCCTCTGTCCCCCTACGCCCTCGACCCTGGTCGATAACAAGCTTGCGGACTGCAGAGTTCTGAGATTTATCCAGTCTGCAGCCATCTGGGCTCAGAGGAAACAACCGGGGACTGACCGCAGTGCGGCGACATGGCTGATCAATGACGGACTCTGGTAGAACTCTTGGTGCTTTCTGCCCATTTATATCTAACGCCATTTAATGATACCATCGCCTTTCCTGTAACTAGTTGCTTCCAAGTAGGTGTAGGTGTAGGGAGACCCGGAAGATATGGGCCGAATTTGTGAAATGGTAATTTTCTTCCAGTGGCAGTGGCTAGATCTGGTTTTTCACTCTGTGTACGTGATATCGCCTTTCGCCTGTAAAGTGTGCCTGATCTTAGGCATCTGGGATCAACTTTTTTGTCTCGAGATAACTTTTTATAAATCATGTGCTTTTTCGATCTATCAAAATACACCATGTTCATCATGTTCAGAAAAGAGTCCAAGATGTGATTTTTTGTGTGTAGTGTGACGTCACTCCATGCCTGACATCAGGCTGCAGTCGGACGTCACCACCTCTCTGCAGTCTGCAGGCTGTAGTGTGACATCACTCTTTTCCCTCGGCAGGCTGCAATAAGCCGTTTTTCTCTCTGCGGGCTATTGTGTGACGTCACCGTTTCCCTGTCGGCAGGCTGCAGTCTCCAGTTTGACGTCATCTCACTGGTGTATCTGGCGCTACTGCTGGCCTGTCCGGTGGTGCCGGCTCCGACCCGGCGCTCCTGGCAGGGTGAGTTACTGCTCTGTGCACTGCTCTCTGTGCTCCCAATACACTGCTCCCAGTGTATTACTCTCAGTTCCCCCTCTCCCAGTTCTCCCAATGCACTGCTTCCAGTACCCTATATCCCCAGTGCCTACATTGCACTGTCGCATACCATGCAGTGATAACCAAGTGATACCACCCGGTCTTCTTTCGCCACGGTCCACACATACTACGTGGTGTGCTGGCTTAGGCGGTGATGTCTGAATCCCCTGCAGGGCCCTGTGTTGAAGCCTGTGGCACGATTGCTGCCTATCGCCGGCCGTCAGTCAGCCAACCGTCATCGGTTGGCGCGGACGCCAACTTCCCGCTATCCACTCACTGTTTGCCCGGCTTAGCGAGTTTGTTTTACGATCGCTGCGAGACCCTAAGTGGCACGCCTGGTCGCAAAGGTAAACAAGATGCTTAGAGCTGCCGGGTCCTGCTTTTAGCACCGCTGCTGTGTGCCGACTTTGAGACCAAAGCGGCGGATAGTGATGGACATGGTTGATAGCATTTTAACGTGCTGAAATTTGAAACCAAACCTCCCATAGATATAAGAACAATGTTTAGGTATGGTCAACAGGTTAGGTATGACCCGGTACTCGACCTTACCTGCTGCTGGGAGACCGTTCTGACAATCTTTGCTCCCTTCCTGATGCATTTTGTTGCAGGTCCTTTAGGCATCTACCTGAAGATATGTCTGGCGCTCACGCTGTTGGCCATTCTGCCTCTGGTGTGCTTCCAAATAGCGCTGTTCGCCATGCCACCATACGGACACATACTACAGTTCTGTGAGTATGGTCTGCTCGGCATTGAAGTTTGCCATAAAGTGGCGATGTCAGATGTGTCAAAGTTCTTTATGTCCTGTTAGGAAAACTTCGCTGAACGAAACTTGAACAGTTTTGCTATTCTTTCAAAAGCCGTTAACTAGTCTTGCTGCCTAGTTACCGCTGGTAACTTTTGAATCTTTTGTTAATTGACGGTAGATCTTGTTTTATTCCATAGCATTCATAATTCAAAGAATCGCCAATCCACAAACCTGTAATATTGGCCGCCGTGCGTTTCAGTCATGTGACTTCTCTCCACTCTGTGACCCGTGACCTGACATCTCCCCTCCGACACCGCTCCCCAGGCGACCCCCCTGAGCCGCTGCTACGTCAGCTGGGCCTCATACGACTGGACGAGGTCTCCATCCTGGCCGGCGTGTTCTACTTCGCCGCCAAGCTGGTGCCGTTCGTCATTACGCTGGTCGCCTTCAGGTAATTCTCGCACGTAGCAGGGCTTCTTTGAATTGATGCGGTTGGGATGCGACGATTTGTTATGAAAAGGGCGATGATGAAATATTTTGCAGCATATTTATGCCTTGTCGTGGCCAGCAAGTTTTTGCATCATGCTTTCGAAATATCGAGCAAGTGTCATGGGAGTCCGTCTAGCTGATTTATTGATATGACTTGGTCGAAAGCCTCTTTACTCGTTAAATCCACGAGAACAGTGGCAACCGAAATGGAGTCGCCCTGATGAACCCAGGCTGGCCTTATGACGGCAGACGGGTCCCGTGAAATGTTTATTTTACCGAGCGGTACGGCCCGACAGGGACAGGGTCTTCTATACGGGAGTTAGCCGCCCTCAACAGTACAGTCACACACTGACCCTGGATGGTAATGGAACGTCAGCACTGACCGGCCTAGTAACCGGTAACATCTGGTTTTGTGATGGGTGACACACGTTGGAAGTCAATGAACTTGACAGGCATGAGATAGTCTGCGTCTGCTTGGTGCCATGTGCGTTGACTGACCCATACAGATGTTCGCTACTGTAACAATGTCTGAGATACTATTTGCCATGATTTTTTAACCCACCTGTGCATTGTGATTATGTTGTCTCTAGTTTGATAATGATAAACCTTTGCCCATGTGCTATTTATTCTCATCGTCAGCCAGGATACCCGTCATGACCTTGGAGGTAGCCTGCTGATCTGACCTGATCTGACCTTCTCTGACCTTTGCCCTCCAGGGAGTGTCGTGACCTGTCGCGTGACGCGGGTGTACCCGAGACGAACGCGATCGGGGGCGGCACCTCTCCCCTTATCCAGAACACCCGGGAACAGCTACAAAAGGACGGGCTCAAATACTGCTTCGGTAAGATGCGGTCTCGTGTTGGAATTAGACGCTAGAACCATTTGATAAAAGGTCATTGGGGACAGAAAGGCACGTTTGCACAATGTAGAAAGGCAATGTTAGGCCACACTTTCCAATATTTTTTTTGTGATAGCATGCGCACCGTTTTTTTCTTCTTCTTCAAAGAATGTGATGCTTCATTCTTTCATCATATGCCACTTGAGTCGGAAATAGTGCCATCATAACATCCTTGCAATCTCCCAGAATATCACGCCATACCAGGCCTCCGACTCTGCCAGCCTCAAGCACGGTCGCCTGTGCTCGAACTCGACACTATGGGAGGCCATATTACAGTGCCGCTTTTGGCTTGTGATGGAGGACAGTCATGAATTCATACCGAGATAGCGTCAGCTGTGTCCGGCTTGGCCACCTAACTGCGGAGGATAGTGTGATGAATCCTATAAGCAGCGGAATGGAAACGGATGACATCCAACCGACTTTGTTTATTTAATTGTAAGGACGCCTATCAGCATCAGAACGACTACAGCTAATTACGTGGCTTCTCCTTGTGATGTTGGATAACATTTCGACTATTTTGCATTAAAACTGCCTTCTTCAGCTTCAAGTGCATGGTTCCAAGACTTCGAAATTAAAAAGATGTTCGCTAATTTACCACCGCCTCCGCCTTAATCACCCCCCCCCCCCCCCTGTGTGCAGTGACGGCGCTGACGTTCCTGGCGCTGGCCGGCGCCGCCGTTATCCGTCCCTCGGTGACGTCGGCCGTCTACCTGCTGACGCTGATGGCGGCCATGACGTGGTGGGCGTGTCTGCGGCCGCTGGGCCGGCCGTTCGGCGTCATCTGCCGCCTGCTGATGGCGTACACAGCGCTGCACGTGACGGCCCTGTATGTGTACCAGTTCCAGTGGCCGCAGCAGTACTTTGACCACACCAGCCTGGCGGCCAGGTGAGGGAGGGAACGGGACGGGGCGGTACAACCCATTTAAACACTCGGGTAAGATTTATTTTAAAAAAGCGAGGAGATCAGATGATCCTTGAGAACGGAAGCGAAAAATAATGTCGTGATGGACATAACTTTGCTCGACTTTGTCCTTTTCCCACCGTTGGTGTCTTCGTAGTGTTCCTAGTCATTGCTTATTTTGTATTTCCTAAGGCTGTTTTATCGTATGGTTTCTGTGTCATGCCTAAATCAAATTGTATTCAGCGTTGTATCACCGGCTGTATTCTGTCCTACACACAGACTGGCTGGTCTGGTGCAGATCAAAGTAGCCAACTGCACGGGCGATCCGCGGGACACTGTGTTCGCCGACACCACGTGGGACGTCTACATCTACCCGCTGGTCATCTACGCACTCTACTACATGCTCGCCTTCGAGTCGCGCATTCTGGGAAATCTAAGGGTGAGTGATGGTTTAGACGGGTTACAGGGATTTGAGTTACGAGCTCGGCACCGGTTCTGCCATGGTTTCCACTTGGTCACGATAGGTGACGTGTTTTATTGAGCACAGAGATTTTGCTATTACAGTATTCCCTGATGGGATTTTGAGTTTGCTTGCCATCACATCAGATTTTGTAGTTTCATTTGTGTGATTATTCAACACACATATTTAGCATAGCCTGCAAGTAATAGTTAATTATGCCTTGATGACCATTTGCACTGCCCACATCGTGTGAATATCACGTATTTATCGCTCCAACTTTGCTGTGTTTGATCACTCTTTTGTCGTATCTCTGCACACGCGTTTACTACTTGTTTACACCATAAGCACGAGTTTAGATGACGCAGTTTATTTGATGCATTATATGAGTTGTACTGCACCACTCCTGCAATCCAACTCTGGCTCCTGTGACGAAGCGGCCGTTTTCTACATTTGTCGTAGGTTGAGCAGCTGACCGTAACCGTCAAGGACCTCATTGAGGTAAACCGTGTTCTCTGCCGCTGTACGGTTTCTGTCTCTCTCGCTCTCCAGCGCTCGTCCCTGTGTGATCGCTGGACCTGCCGCCTGGGTGTAGGTCACTGGCGCGCGCTTGGCTGACACCTCGGGCCTGGCATGCCCCGTATGTCCGTATTCACTATCGCCAGCTTGGCAAAATCAGGCGAACATCACGACTTCACCTCTTCTGAAAGAACATGTCACATTCGAGTCCTCTTCCTAGTTCTACGAATTTATAAAAAAACGGCTTGATCTTCTCGAGTGATTGCTCAGCCTCAAGACTGTGAGATTTCCCGCAGACAAATAGTCCTGTATGAGGATTTAATTAGGTCGTGAACACGGGCACAAATGCTTTTCTTCTGCCATCCGATGTTTGCTGATGAGTTTGATCTGTCATAACTCTCGACTCTGAAACTCTACTCTGAGCAACTGCGATGTCTTCCACTGTTTGACGTTCTCTGTCACTAACAGATTGAAAATGGCAGATCGCATGATTGCACTAGATTAAGACATTTTCTCATACCTATGAGGAAGCGAGATAGCTTTATCGGTATAGCTCGAGAAATAATAATTGTGATGCTCAGCGTCAACAGGCTACATTAGTAGAGTTACAGTCATCAAATGCCCTCACACATTTATGAGGTGTGTATGGACTTGAGCTGCGGTTTGAGATGAATGAATCGAATGCAGGCTCTCAAACGTTCCCAGTTGGTATTCCCTACGGTTAGCTGTTGTACCCGGCTCTTCGTCTCATGTGTATCTTTTCAGGGTTGAGTTTTATTAAAAAAAAAAAACAGACTTAACAGCGAACACCTTTTAATTGTAAGCTTGTACACTATTGTAACTGAACAGGTCTATCGCCATAACACCATCACTGCAGTGCCCTCACACGATGACCGGCGCCCAACCCCTCCCTCACGCACGGCCGCTATTCGCTCCCTCACTCTCTGGGAGGCCCCGCGCTGACCCGCCGCCCTGGCAGGACCCGCGACTCCTGGAGGCCGTGCTCGACGTGCCCTTCAAGAGGGTCAGCCGCTCCCTGCGCCGCACGTTCAGACGAAAGCCGGGCCGCCAAGCGGTCACAGTAAGCCCCCTGTTGAACCCCGCGACCCCTGGTGGATGTTAGTGGTGGCGCTCAGAATGCAGACTAATAGTCGCCAGGCCGGCTCAGTTTCAGTTGGTCGTATTTTTGTTTGCCGTGTATTCTTAAGAAGTAGCAAAGAAGCGCTGCTTTTTTACTTTTGCTTGGTTTTATTTACCCATTTTTCGTTTGAAGCTATGGTGGATATTTAGGGGAATTGTTTTGCCGTTATCAATAATTTATGGCTGACTAAGTAACCTACTACAAACTGAGATAGATTGGGAGCTTGGAAAATAAATAACCAAAACTTGAGTTTTTTTTTTTGTTTTGTTCCAATTTTGTTTCTGACGAATTGAGAATCTGTTTTGCTCTTGCCTTCGCATGCGCTCATTGATTTGTGTCTTTTCCAGTAATAAGCATGTTGCGCATGCTTTAAAGTCCCGTGACTAGTTTATAGCGATTAAAGAAAGATAATTTCACATTTTATCTTATTTTTACCTACAAGCCAATAGCCGAAAACAGAGAGGGTACCTATGGCGAAATTATTTACGACTTATGCTGTCATAAGCTGTCTATTATGTAGCAATTGCATACCTATTGCTTGCTACAAACTTCAAATTGAACGGTAGGTGAAACGTCCCCTTACTTATTCACATCGGACACAGCACACCTATTTGGAAATTTAATAGGTAAATCTCCTGGACCCCCTCAACCTCGCCACATGCAGAGGCATGTTACATTTGGGTGCAATCTAATCACTAATGACGAGACAGATCCACGTACAAATAGATAATTACGAGCGAGCGAGCGCAGCGAGCGAAGTGAGTCTTTTCAATATAACGGAAAAATCTCAGTATGAGCGGCCCGGCCCGGCCCGGCCCGGCCTGTAACGCTTTTGAGAGGCTTATATCTCAGCAGCCGCTGGACCGATTGGCCTGCGGTCTTTTTTGTTGGGTAGCCCCATCCCTTCTACCCCGTAATTGACTACTTTTGATACATCTCAGTGACCGTCGTGGCACGTGCCACGTGAAAAGTCAGGGGTGTTCAAGCTGTTTTGCAAAAGTAGTGACTTTGAGAGGCTCATATCTCAGCAGCCGCTTGGGCGATTGACTTGCGGTAATTTTTGTAGGGTAGCAGCATCCCTTCTACCCAAAATAGGATACTCTCGATGTATGTGGGTCACCCCCAGTGCACGTGCAAAATACAACAATAAGAGGTGCCAAATTTGTTCCCATTTCAGTAACTCGGTAATTACTGGGGCGATTTCGCTGAAACTTGGCATACAGGTAGGCACCCACCAGGCATTGCATTCCCATGTGTTGCGGTTAGGGTGCTACTGCACGTGCGCACGTGCAGGGGGCGTTTCCAGATCTCGAGAACGGCTGGGCCGATTGCGCTCAAATTTGGTACACGGTTGGGGACCAGTTAGTAGGGTGCCGTGCAAAAGTCATTTTGGACCCCGTTTGCACGTGCGCACGTGGAAAATGCTGCTTCCAGATCTCACGAACGGCTGGGCCGATTGCGTTCAAATTTGGCACACCGCTAGCGACCGGTTAGAAGGGTGCCTTGCACAATCCCGTTGGAAGCACCCTCTCGCCCTTCTGCACGTGCAGGGCTCACTATCTCGCTCGCTCGTTCTTCGCCCAAAAGGCGTTTTACTGGTTTATTATTACGAGCGAGCGAGCGCAGCGAGCGAAGCGAAGTCTTTTCAATATAACGGAAAAATCTCAGTATGAGCGGCCCGGCCCGGCCCGGCCCGGCCTGTAACGCTTTTGAGAGGCTTATATCTCAGCAACCGCTGGACCGAATGGCCTGCGGTCTTTTTTGCTGGGTAGCCCCATCCCTTCTACCCCGTAATTGACTACTTTTGATACATCTCAGTGACCGCCGTGGCACGTGCCACGTGAAAAGTCAAGGGTGTTCAAGCAGTTTTGCAAAAGTAATGATTTTGAGAGGCCCATATCTCAGCAGCGGCTTGAGCGATTGTCTTGCGGTCATTTTTATAGGGTAGCTGCATCCCTTCTACCAAAGGTCGGATACTCTTCATCTATGTGAGTGACCCCCAGTGCACGTGCAAAATACAACAATAAGAGGTGCCAAATTTGTTCCCATTTCAGTAACTCGGTAATTACTGGGGCGATTTCGCTGAAACTTGGCACACAGGTAGGCACCCACCAGGCAATGCATTCCCATGTGTTGCGGTTAGGGTGCTACTGCACGTGCGCACGTGCAGGGGGCGTTTCCAGATCTCGAGAACGGCTGGGCCGATTGCGCTCAAATTTGGTACACGGTTGGGGACCGGTTAGTAGGGTGCCGTGCAAAAGTCAGTTTGGACCCCGTTTGCACGTGCGCACGTGCAGAATGCCGCTTCCAGATCTCAGGAACGGCTGGGCCGATTGCGTTCAAATTTGGTACACCGCTAGCGACCGGTTAGAAAGGTGCTTTGCACAAGCCCGTTGGAAGTAGGTACCCTCTCGCCCTTCTGCACGCGCAGGGCTCACTATCTCGCTCGCTCGTTCTTCGCCCAAAAGGCGTTTTACTGGTTTAATGTACCGAAAGAAATAGTTTTCCTTTGTGCGGCAAAGCAAGCGGAAAATTTTATAATAACTGTGCCTATCTCTGCACTTAAAAAAATCACCGTTTCATTCTAACAGGCACGGCCGCGTTATATAATTAGAATGCAATAAATCATTGGATTGAAATGATACAATACCAACTTAACTTAGTTTAAAACTAAAGCTGGGAAGCAGATGCCAATTGTAGCCTGCTGATAACTACAATCATTTAAACCAATTATTCTCACTGTAATCCTGTCCGAACATTGCTCGTTCTGTGATATAATTTGTGTTTTGTGGAGCTCTATTCTATTTTGTTTCTGTGCTGGTCAACGTGCCGTAGCGAAAATACGTCTTAAACGCATCACATCTTGGTAAAACCCGTTAAACTGTCTCCATTGTAATGTTAAACTGAAATCAAGTTCTCAAATGTTTGGTGGGTCATTTTTGGGTGCAGAATTTAGTTACCTATGCTTCTAATATTGTCCATTAAAGGTTATGGATAGGTATATTTGTTTTCCGTTACTGCAGATGTATTGATCAATGCGCATGTATTCTTTACATGGGGCAATGCTACCGTGATAATGTAACTTGTTTCGTGTCTGCGAAAGACAGCTTTAAATATTCAGTGATGGTGTGGTTTCTTTTTGTAATTTTTCTACAACTAACGCTCCTCTGCATTTGTCAACTCATGTTGTTAGTCTGCAGTGTTTTCCTCTAACGTTCTGGCTGGTTTATTATCACTCACTCTTCTTTCTCTCTCTGTTACAGCTCTTGGTTCGTTTAACCCTTTAGATTAGAATGGCAAACTTACATGGGTTGGCCTTTCACCAGTGTTCCTTGTTCTCACACACTTGTGGTTTCGGTGTAATCTTCTCTACTCTTTTAGAATACTGGTTATGGTTCTAACTCGCACTTCCATCACGACCACCCTAATTGATCTGATATCCTGGTCTGCCATGCTCTGACGTGACCCGACCTGACCTTATCTGACCTGACCTGACCTCATTTGACCTGCGCCGACAGTGCGGCACTCGAGCCGGGACGACTGTCCACTCTATTCGCGCGTTTGATCGACAAGTAGCGTATTCAGACACAAAAGAGACGTTCCAAGTGAGTTAGTCGCACAGCTCCACTGGAGCTTTATGGCCGAGTAGCGGGGAGGCCGCGCTGCAATGGATGCATCCAGGAGCGTAGTGTCTGTCTTGGGGCGACCTGGGAGGCGGTACACCTGTCGCTGTTGGTACGGGCCGCCTCTGTCGTTGATATCGATGGCCTCTGCATGGTATGTGAGTGTAGAGGTGTAGCTTTTGACGGTGCACGCAATGGTGAAGTGATTGACAAGTGAACAGACTTCTGGTTACTCGATCACTTTGTAAATAAGTTGAGTAGTTGTAAGAATGACTGAAATTAAATGTATGAATCTGACATGTTGATGCCATCGATGCATCTAAAATGTGATGATTTAATCGGCGCGCAATGCCGCGGCGTGGACTGTGCGGCGTGGACTGTTTGCCCCGAGACCCCGTCCGCGCCCCGACTGACCTGACCGGACCTGGCGTCTCCTCCCACCACATGCGTGCTGTGCTTAGATCGCGGGCCAGGGCACCGCGCCGCGAGCCGTGACGTCATCCCACGACCGAACGCCCGTATGTACTGCACGGCGCACGCTGCCACAGCCGCCTCGCACGCAGTCCCGCACTGAACACAGGGCACCTCTCCCCAGTGGAGTGGCACACTGCCCGCCCCGCGGCCAGCCTAGCCTGAGTACCATCGTGACTTTGTCTGGGTGGATCTGTCTGCCCCGTGTCCATCGGCTGCTGTGAGCCGGCCAGGGATGCCTCGGGGTCCGTCGGTCAAGTTCGCACCCCGCTTGTACCCGCGCCACCGAAAAGCCTGCTTGCTGTCCTGTTCACTGGTGGAGGATGGGTCTTTGAATGCGGTAATTTGTAACGGTGATGGAAAATGAACTCGGGGTAAGTGACGTAATGCTTCTTCTTTCAATGCTGTCCTCTCTCTTGCATCGAGTATTGTGGCGACTGAATCTAACGGCGTTTGATAGTATTGTCACAAATATCCTTGTCGAATCAGCGGTCTTCCAGTGGCGGTTAGAGGGTAGTGGACAGTGGTGACAGTGCTTGCGTCGTATGTTTGCATTAGCTTCCGTTATGCTCGTTGTTCATCAGTTTGTACATGGTTTACGCGATCGGTGCATGCTTTTTGTGTCGTCTTGCAGTCGATGCACTTTTGCGCGTGATCTTGCATTGCAAGTCATCCAATCCACCTTTTCCTGGCGCAAGTCGAGATCCAATTACCTGCTGGCTGTTCCGAAAACCAGTCGTTCTGTTCTTGTGCACTGTGCAATGTGCATCGCTTACGTCACACTTTGAAGCTCGCACTCGCTACAGAGCTTTTGCTACAAGCTCATCGACTGTTTGTAGGTTAACTAACATGGGGAGTACTCAGTTAGTAGTTTTCACGCATATGTATACTGCTGTCTGTGCATAGCTTGGTACTGAATAAAAACTTTATTGATTTAATGCGCAAAGGCCAAAGCGTCAATCAATAATCATGCCATGTTTGTGACTGAAAAAAAAAATTGACAAAACATAAACACTTTTTTAATCTTTATCTGCATCTAATAATTGTAAATAATCCGCGTATTAATCTACATTTTTCAATTTTTACCCCTTGTTTGGTAACTGACATTGTGGTACACGAATCGATCAACATTGCTAACCATTGAAAACATTCTAGGCTACCGCTATATGAACTATCTGTGCTGAACTAGCTGAACTAGCTGTGCTGGTCACTAGATGTCAGCACGGACGCGCTGACCGCTGTGTCTCGTTTGTCGTCAGCTGGTGGAGGCCGACAGTCTCGGAGCGCGCTATCAGGCCGTCGGCGATGGCTCCTGTCCAGGTATGACTGGAGCTCCATATTTGGGGTGCCATGTTTATTTTTCTGAGCCTTCAGGAGGCTTGAAACGTTTGTATTACATTGGCCTCAATAAAACAACTTGGCTGACCAGCAGTGAATACTGGCTTCGTTTGATGCATTTAGTATCACTGTCAGAACCGTGCTGAGTGCAAATGTGAATGAACTGAACGAGATTATTTACTTCATCTCAACTTTTATAAGCCTGCTCACTGTTGGCTTTGGAAAAAGTCCTGTATTTCTTTCACAACAAGCTAGCACAGACAACTAACAAGCTGCCGTCCCGTCGTCAGATGACGCTACTGAGGAGCCGGCTGAGACTCGGCTCCGACGGGAGCGCTGGCAGAAATTCTCCGCCACCGTGTACACCGTGTGGCGCAGCCTGGCCCGCGCCTCCTTCCTCGCCACCTATGTGGTCATGATGGTACGTATGGGCCACTTCCTCGTTACTTTGTGATCGTCATGATGGTAGGTTTAATACCAGTTCCGCCGATAGTCTGGTGCGTTCGCATCGTTCTTGCACTGCTCATGATCCTGTTCTAGGCATGGTCCGATTAGTTTTGACAGCTATCACTTCTCGTTTGCGAACTTCCAAAAGAAATATCATTTTCGGCTGCACATCTCGATCAACACCACGATTTTACGCTTCATAGACCCACCATTCAACTCTCTTTCTCTATTTTCTCAAGTACTGGTCGAGCAAGTAGGTACCAAAGTCACACTCCCCACATACCCACCACTGACGCTCCCTTTTCTCTCTGCTCCAGTACTGGTCGATCAAGTACCACAGCTACCTGACGTTCGTGTTCCTGCTGTGGGCGCTGGTCGTGGCCGTGATCAAGAACCAGCGGAAGGTGATGCACCGCTCCTCGCCGTTCCTGGTGACGTACGCCCAGCTGCTGGTGCTGCTGCAGTTCGTCTACTGCCTCGACCTTACCGACCAGGAGCTGCCCGTCAAAATCAACAACTTCGACCTGCGAGACGTGGTCTACAAGCCGGCATCCTTCCCCTGCGAGACGCTGTCTCTGCAGGTAGGCCGATTGGAAACCGAGTAATGGCGAGCTTCCGAAATAATTCAAAGCTGACGGCCAACTGTTTTGTCTTGTGTCCATTCACAGCCCATAGATATTATGGTGGTTTTGATTGTTTCTCTGACCCGCGCTCTTCATCACTCCTCAGCTGGTGTTTACCACTATCTTCTGGCTCACGCTGCGGCAGTACCTTCAGGAAGAGCGGGAGCGTCACAACGACCTCCACCTGACTCCCAGACGTGAGTTACGATGTCCAGAGTGAACGAGAGTCGAATTCCGGAGGCTGTGTCACAATGTGCTATCGCATAGAAATCTCGTTCAAATTTGTCTGAGCTGTGTATTTCTTTTCGATAGTGAAATGGATCAATCGAATGTCTTCGGTAATATATCCGTCGGCTAATGACAGCGTCAAATGTCTGCATTCTTGCACTTGATTTTTTTTATCGAATCGTAAGTTCTCAGAACGTACATCACCTCCATGGTCTCTTCTTAATTTCCGCTAACATCGTGTCTTTCCCGCCACCAGGTCGTCTCTCGCTGGACGACGGCCTCCTGAAGCGCTGGGGCGTCGTCCTCTTCAAGGGCATCGTCCGGCTCTGGATCGTCGTGGTCGCCATCATGCTCTTTGTCTACGGCATCGGCGAGGAGCGCGTCGTCATCATACAGATCTTCTACATGGCCTTCTTCCTCTTCTTCATATCCATGTTCCAGGTACTTAACTTTCTTGATACTCCGAGCTTCGTATTTTGCTGAATGTCGCTGTGTTTTTATGTTGTCATTCTTTGAAATGGACATGGTGGTCACTTGAGTCATTCTCCTCGACGCTTAAAGCCGGACACACTTATACCTGACATGATTCTATGAGATCATAGCTCGCTTAGGAATAAAATTTACCATCCCTCCCAAAATATAACTCCCAAATACCAAATATCATCGCTGACATTTTGTTTCTGTTCTCCCAGATATCGTTCCGGGTGTGGCGCCGCCTTCTGTACGGGTTCACGATGACGCTCATCCTGTACCAGATGCTAGTGCTCGTCACCATTTACCTCTATCAGTTCAAACACATTCACGAGTGGATCACCGACTTGGGCATATCGCAGCAGTGGCAGCGCGACCTGGGCCTGGAGGTGTACCAGACGGGGAGGTAAGCTGCGGCATGGATGGCTCCGAGGGAAGGCCCCAATTTATCGTCACATCCTGTATGACAATGAATCCTGTATGGAACAAGCTAGTTAGTTAAATGCATTTCTACTTTCTAGTCTTAACTCTTATTGACCATTGTTACGCCAGCAGCTCAAATATGTCCTGCAATAACGCTTGGAAACATGGTTCACTGACATATGCCGTATTGATTAACTCTTCTTTACAGATTGTTTATCAAGCTACTGTTCCCGACGCTGTTCATGATTGTGTGCGTGGTCTACATTCAACACATCCACAAGGACTTCATGGCTCTCACCGACGAGGAACGCTACCACAGGTTAGTGTGACCTGATATAACCTCGTTTGGCTCTAGGTGACAGTTTCATATGTGATTGTTACTAGCACGCTATTCTAATATTAACGATTTGATACCATACTGATCACCAACACCCTGTTAGGTTATGGAGCCAAGTTAATTGTTTTCCTTGCTAGTGAAATTAATGCGCCACCATGAAACCTATGCTTGTGTTATTCCGTATGACTGTAACTTTAGATTTATATGCCAAGTCTGCCCTCCTGCAGACGCCCGGAGCCGGCCGGCGCGCCCGCCTCCCAGCCCGCCTCAGCCGCCGCCTCTCCCGCCGGCTCGCCGACCGGAGAGCCGCCCGACTCTCCCTCGCCGGTGCCCGTGTTCAGTCCCTCAGCGGACACCATCAACAACACTGTGGACACCGTGGACACGGCGGACACCGCGGACACGGACCGGACAGCGGACACGGTGCAGCTGGCGGGCGCGGCGCCCGTGGCAGAGCCGGAGGAGGAGGAGATGGGCGTGCTGCCCGGAGGACTGCTCGAGGTGCCCACCACCGAGCACGGCCCGGCACTGGACGAGACCAGCAGCCTCAGAGAGATGAAAGGTGCGTTAGGTGGCCCTTCTGTGGGACTGTCTCCGGGTGATGAAAGGTAGGGATGTCCTTTTGAGGGAGCAGCCTCAGAGAGCGTGAGGTAGCCCTTCTGTCGGGCAGCCTCAGCGAGATGGAAAATTGACGAGGCTGCCCTTTTGTTTGACTGTCTCAGGGATATTAAAGGTGCGTTTTTTTGTCAAGGGTATCGGAGGGTGAGAGATAGATGTATGGATATTGCATAAGGGTATCGGAGGGTGGAGATAGGTGCCTGGATATTTAGAAAAAGCCTATCATATGGAAGAAAGTTAGGTAGTGTGCGAGCAGTGTGGTCTGTGGCTCTAAAATTGGAATGCATTTATGGCTACTGAATCTGCCGATCCCGTTGGTTGAGGCTGAACATTTTTTTTTTCATCAGGCTGGTTGTTCCACTACTGCGCCCGGGCCTGGAACCTGGCCGTGGCGCTGCTGGACAAGCTGCTCTGGGTGTTCTGCCGGCTGATGGAGATCCACGGCATGAAGGTCAACATGTTCGCCATCACCATGGTCACCGTCTTTGATGTAAGTGACTCGGGTGGTGACTGCTCCAAGATGGCCATGGGTGACAATCGTAGGTGCTACAGTATGCCTGGTTAGTTATTGCAGTGTGGCTAGCTTTGTACTGAAGTGGCCAGTAAGACCGATGATAACGATTTCTGGTCCTGTTTGGACTGATATAGCGTGATCGGGACATGTCGTATTATGATATGTGAATATTATGTTGCTACCTGCCTTGGAGCGATGTAGCAAACGACGATGTCAATTGGCTTTTCAACCGGTGTTAAACCAGCTTTCTCTGAATCCGCCCTTCCATTTGGCTGTTCCAACTTGAAATGTTACAAACTGAGACGTTGTGCTCCGTCGCCAGGTGTGCGCGGTCCACTTCTGCCTGCTGCTGCTGGTGTGCGTGGCCCTGCTGCTGGAGAGCCGCGGTCAGAAGGTGTGCTGTGACCTGGCCATCTGCTGGGTCAGTCTGCTGCTGCTGCTGCGCATGATCTACCAGATGGACGTCATCCCAGGGGACCTGTGGACTGTCAACTGCACGGTGCGTAGCAGAAAAAAGTTTCATGTTTGTATGCTATTTTGTGCGAGTTAAACATGGACGCAGTTATTATTCGTCGTTGTCAGTGAGCTCGCAACGTTCACAAAGGAGGCGAGGAATAAAATACTGGGTGATAATTTACACACTACGTTGCGGCGCTAGTTTATCTTCTTTGCTCTCTGCATATCGGCAAGGGAGAAGTGTGCCTCATTTGTCCGTGATCGCCTTTTTATTTCTGTCCGTTACAGTTCTCGATGCCCCACCTGGCGCCGGCGAAGGGAGCAGCGGCCCCGGCGGCAGCTCTCCTCCTGAACACCACTCACAACACCACCGTTCACGGCCTGGTGTGGTTCGGTCTGCAGAAGATGGACAGCCTGCCGCAGTACGTCACCGGATACATCGGTACGTTATATCGCCGAACGGCTGACGAAACACAGCGACTTTTCTGGGAAATTTGCAAGGGAACGCGGATTTTAAATTATCCTTATAAGATTAATCTACGTGGTAATGATAATTTAACATCCACGTCGTGGATGTTAAATTATCATTCTAATTTTAATCTAATTTCATTTGATAATTTTGCCTTGCGACAGTGGTCACTGCTTTTTATGATGCATTAACATCTCCGGTATGTAATACTTCTCGAATATTAGAACGGATGCTGGTCAGTTATGGAGAGTCTGTGAATGCAGCTCCTTTCCTTACAATCTGACTACATCTTCACCCCCCCCCCCCCGTCCAGGCGTCATCCTGGTGCTGACTCTGCACAAGTCGGTGTCGGTGCGCGCCCTGTACCGCTGTCTGCGGGACGGACACGCCCCCACCGAGGGAGTGTTCTTTGCCGGTGTGGGCCGCGCCCACTCGGACCGGGGCCTCTTCGAGATGACCAAGTACCTCGTCAACTACTGCTTCTACAAGTTCGGCGTCGAGGTAAGCTATCAACTTCAGGGTGTTAGGTGTTCAGCCAAGTGCGTGAACAAACTGTTAACATATTTTCTTCCAGTGTAGTGACTGAACGTGCCTGGCGTACCGACTGTTGGGCTGTCCTTGCTGTCTGCCACGATAAGGAGCATTGTGGTGCTATCTTTGAATGTAATTTTGCTGGCTCCTCTGAATATATTTTAGGAATATTTTAATTCCACTTGCAATATTCTCTCGCCACCTGTTCATCTCGCCTCGCTTACCCGTCTCCTCTGCGCTGCTCTCCCCCGCAGATCACTCTGATCGCTCTGGTGATCCTGGTCGGCGTGCGGCTGGACGTGGTCTCGGTGCTGTACGCCCTCTGGCTGTGCGGCCTGTTCAGCCTCCGGCGGCCGGCGCTGGCCCGCGTCTGGCCAGTGTTTGTGGTGTTCGCTGCAGTGCTGACCCCGCTACAGTACCTACTGGCGCTCGGACTGCCCGCCGGACTCTGCTACGGTAGGGAGGGGTGTTAAAGATGAGCTGATAGGCTGGATTCTAACATACATGGCAGTCGGGACCATGTTGTGGTGAGGATGCTTTGGTCGATAGAATGTGCTGTTTTGGGGATGGGCTGAGGCGGCTTTGGTCGACCGCTAGACTGCTCCTGAGGGAGGGGACTGCTTATTAAGAATGATGTGGTCAGATTTCAGAACTGAATATTATTTTCTTTCCTGTTTGAAAACATGTGTAGGCGTTTGCCACATTTGGTTGCCAACCGAAAAGAGCAGAACAAGAGCTTGAGGTACAGTCCACAGCAGAAGTAATGTGTGGTTTCAGTCATGGGTATGTTCTGCTTCTGAAGCCTAGGAACGATTAGCCAGACTGCAACGAGACTTTAAATGTAGCTTACATGTATCTTCACCCTTGCAGCTACAACTTTATCTATTGACGTCTTCTTTTCAATCAGTCCGCATTTAAAAATCGTCGGTCAAAGCCATCCGTTGAGATTGGTAAAACCACACATTACTTTAGCGGTGGGCTGTACTTTCAGGCACCATCATGTGCCGGTAAAACGTTAGTTTTTATAGTTCGTTTTTCTTAAGTTTGCCCCTCACTGTAAACGTCTCTTTGATTACAGCTCGAGAATTGCTAGCTGAATTACTGAGAAAACTGGTTAGCACGCCACACATTGTATTGTAGATATGAATGATATTTTCAAAAATAAATTTTGAACACCGGCGATTTAAGGTTATGTTAAGCGCCGTGCAATTTATCTATTAGTTCAGACATAATGGATGAGAAGGTTTGTTTCCTCAGATAGTTCATGGAAAAGGGCTGCCATGAGTATTTTTACAAATGCTGATCTGTTGTTGACCTGTGGAGATACGAGTGCCCAAAAAATCTGTTATACAGGCATGAATCCTTTCTGGAATGAAGTTGTCGAATTATGGGACCAATTTAAACATTGTTTTGATATTTCGCCTGTGAATATTAATGTGCAGCCGATTTTTCTTTCATCCTTCTTTAAGAGGGATCATAAGTCGATATGGAATAAAAGACTATTAGACTCCGGGTGCATGAATGTAGGAGACTTTATGTCATCAGATGGGCAAACGATGACGTATGATAATTTTATTTCAGCATTCGGGACAGTCATTTCGCGATTAGAATATATGGGTATTGTAAAAGCCATTAAAAAGGCATATGGAGGAATGATACCTCACCGGGAAACTGGTCCCACAATGCAACCAGCTTTAGAATGTGTGATGAGTTCAAAGGCAGGGTGTGGGCACTATTACAGTGCTTTGATTTTGAGTAAGTACGGATATACTAGATCTAATTTGAAATCGGAATTAAAATGGAATAACGAATTTGACAGAGAGAGAGAGAGAGAGAGAGAGAGTACATTTATTCACTGAAAGACATTGTAATTTTACAAATGATTCGAACAATTGGCGCAAAAGTGCAGATGCACTTGAATCAATGGCGCCGCTTGCACAAACATAATAAAATGAATAACACAAAAATGACACAAATAATCATCACAAAATAATTGTTGACGACCGCCCGAGCTCGGTTACCGCTCCGCGACCCCGGCGATGCGCTGTAGGAAAGGTGTTCCGGACCGCACTTGCCAGACCGACTGCTGCAATCAGTGGGACCGGGATGGGACTAGGATGTAGCCGTAGGTATGTTCGGTTATAACCGATGGGTATGGATAATAAAGGATTGGACTGCGGCGGCGACCGCACCGCCCACTGCACGGCTCAGATCCTTGCCATGGATTAGTATGTCAAGTTGCTCAGAGGAGGGGATCGTGCAGAAATCAAAGTTGAGGATATTAGATAAGGAATTGTAAAGGATGTCTCGTTGATGAAGATAGGACGGACAAAAAAGCAAAAAATGTTTTGTGTTTTCTAAATGATAACCGCAAGAACAGGAAGGTGAATCAGTTTGTTGTATGGAAAAAAGATGAGCGTTGAGTTTTGAAGTGTTAAGTCGTAGTTTAGTATGAAGTAAATTACCAATCCTTGTACCTTGAAAGAAGAAAAAGGGTGGCCGAGGTGGTAAAATAAGTTCTGATAAATGTTTTTTGAAGGTTTTTTGGTTAGCATTTAGGCGTAGATGTTCCGGTATGTTGTTCCAAATACGTGTAGAGCAGGGAATAAAAGATTTGTAGTAGGAGGTTGTTCTGGCCATCGGTATAGTTTGTGTTAAAGTGTTGCGTAGTGTTCTTGTGGTATTTTGCTGTCTTGTGTTTGGAATAATAGATTTGATAAATGTTGGAACTTTAGGGTTAAACACTAGTTTGTGATAGAACTGAATTTTGTGCATTTTCCGTCGGTCAGTCAGTGAAGTCCATCCTAATTCGCGTCGAAGTCCTTCAGTTGATGTCCTAAGTCCTGTTCCTGTAATCAGTCGTGCTGCTCTGTTCTGTGCCTTTTCTAGTCTCATGCAGTCTGTCATTGTGATGTGTCCGTCATAAATGGTGTCACAGTAGTCGAGGAAAGGTTGAACGTAAGTAGAATAGAGTGAAAGAAGCATGTTTTTGGGTATGTGTTTCGCTATTGGATATAATGGTCCCATGGATCGGTTGAATTTTAGAAGGACGTCATTAATGTGTGTGTGAAAACGTAGATCAGTGGACAGTGTGAGGCCGAGGTGTTTGTGGTCGTTTACTATTGGAATGGGGCTACCACCGAAAGTCAGGGTTGCTATGTTTGTCTGTTGTCGGTGTGAAAATGTTTGTTGTGTGGTTTTGGTTGCGTTAAATGTTATAGCCCATGTTTGTCCGTAGTTGTATATTTTGTCTAAGTCTTCTTGCAGCGTCGTCTGGATGTCATGGAAGTTGTCAGTTGGAGAGTAAGAAGAGTATAAAGAACAGTCATCGGCATAATAAAGCATTTTGTTTTGTGTTATGTCACAGAGTCCATTAAGATATAAAATTGCCAGGAGTGGGCCCAAAACTGATCCTTGCGGAACCCCAGCGTCGAGCGTGAGTGTTTCTGAAGTCGTGTTATTAATGTCAACAGTTTGTCGCCGGTCAGTTAGGTAAGATCCAAGCCACTTTAGTAAGTTATCTGTGATTCCAAATTCTTTTTCACACTTTGCTAGTAGTCCCTTGTGCCATATTTTTTCGAAGTAACGGGAAATGTCTAAATAAACTGTGGTGAAGTCCTGTCCTTTGTCGAGAGAGCCGTACAGTGAGTCAGTTATGTAAGTAAGTTGCAGTTGTGTATTGTGTCCCGGTCGGTATCCGCTTTGTCTGTCCGAAAGAAGTGAAAAGTCAGTGATATGTTGGTATATATGTGAGAAAATGATTTTTTCAAAAACTTTTGAAATACAAGGAAGTAAACTTATTGGCCGATAATTATTTATTTCAGAAGGAATTCCTTTCCGCTTGAATATTGGTCGAACTTTAGCTATTTTCCAAGATTCAGGGTATTTACCAGTTGTGAGTGATTTGTTAAATAGGCGTGTCAGTGGTTCATGAATAAGCAGTGCTGTCATCTTCAGAATTTTTGTTGGTAGTCGGTCTGAACCACAGGCTTTATTTACGTCCATGTTATTTAGTGTGTTAAGTACTTCGCCTGGAGTGATTTGTATGTCGGTCAGAGTGGGCACTGGTTCGTTGTTTCTTGTCAGATATGTCTGGAGCTGTGCAATATGCGTGTTAGTGATGTCTAGTTGTGTTTGTGAAACGAAATGGTTGTTAAGCATTGTCGCTTTGTCAGTGTCGCTTGTCGCTGTCTTGCCGTCAGGTTGTATAAGAGTTGGTATCGTGTGATTTTGTTTGTGTCCTGTTAGGTCTTTTAATATTTTATGATATTTGTAAGGGTCGTGTTTGTTCTGTATTAAAAGTGACACCTTATTTTTTACGTGCTCGTCGTACAGTTGCCTATTTAAGTTTGTCACTAAGTTGCGCTGGGTTCTCCATCGCGCCCATGCTTGTTTGTCTAATTTGCGTTTCCGCGCAGTGTTAAATAGACGTTCCCGTTTCCTAATTTCCTTCAAAAGTTCCGATGTCACCCAAGGTTTGTTTTGTCTTGGTTTTATTTGTTTAGTCGGGATACACTGTCTGGCTGCGTCCATTATACAATTAGTAAAGTCTCTTGCTGCTTGGTCAATGTCTTTGTTAAGAATCGAAGTCCAGTCTGTTCGTAAAAGAATGTGTGTTAGTTTGTCAGCGTCTGTATTTTGATAATCCCAGTACTCAGAATAAGTAAAGTTGTCATTCTTTTCTCTTTGGATCGATAGTGTTGCGAATACAGGGAAGTGATCAAGTGTTGAGAAGGAAGAGAAGAGTCCGCTGTTAATGATTAGGTTAGTATTAGATGTAAAGAAAAGGTCGCGTAAATTATGCGTGTCGTTCTCGATGCGAGTGGGTTCGGTGATTAACTGTGTAAGACTTAATGTGTCAGTGGTGTCTTTCAATTTACGGTCAAAAGATGTCAGTCCGCTGTGGTGATAGATGGCTGGAGGGAGGAATATATTACCGACGTTTAGGTCACCAGTTAACAACACATTTTGAGAGTAGAATTGGGCGCAAGTCACACTGTCAGTAAGTCTGTCGATGAATTCTTGTTGTCGCTGTGCTGGAAGATTAGGGGGGAGGTATACTGAGCAAAGAAGAAATGTAACATCTTTAATTTTGATTTTTATCCAAATCCATTCTTCACCTGGCAGCTCGAGTGAGGAAATTCTAGAAAACATGAGTGAACTGTGAATATATACTGCCACGCCTCCTCCATGTCTGTCTCGATGTCTAGTAATGGGTGCGTGAAAGTTGTCAATGGTGTATAAATTCGGGTTAACTGTATCGTCCAGTTTGGTTTCTGTGAGTGAGAGGATTGAAATCTGATTGAGGTTGACAAAATTTACTAGTTCTTGAAGCTTTCCGGTGGCCGTGATGCTATTGATGTTTACGTGTGATATCGTAATGTGATTATCAAGCTGATTATTTGTAGTTGGTCCGGGATTTAATTCGATTCCACCAATGATTAAAAGAATACGCATATCTGGAAAATAATTGGCCATTTTCAATGAGGAGTGACTGAAGATACGATAGAATAATAACTGGGATGTTTTGGTAAGGACGGTAGGGGTTCTGAGGAGAGTGAGAGAGGAGAGGGAGAGAGGAAAGGCGACCTGAGCGTGCCGCAGGGGGTGGCAGGTGATAGCGAGAGGAGAGGGGGAGGAGAGGTCGAGAGGAGGAGGAGAGGGGGAGGGGAGGAGGGGCTGAGGAGAGGGGGAGGGAGGGGAGGCGACCCGACCGCGCAGTAGAGGGCAGGGCGACCGCCGCAGCCCGGGGAAGTGTTTGGCGCAAAAAGAAAGATTTAAGGATGGGACAGAGGTGGCGAAGAGCTGAGACGAACAACAACACTCAAGTCGGGTTAGGGGGGATGAGAACAAATAAAAGGACTGAAGAAAAGGATGATCCGCGGTCGGTCGGCAGCACGGCACGGAGAAGGAGGTCGTAAGTAGGGTGGGCAGAGCGCCCGGGTCGCGGCGGCGGGCGGATCATCGCGGGCTCGCTAACATAAGACAGTAAATAAAAGAGAGCAAATGGAACACTTATGCAGAATAGACAGGCTGTTACTAAATTATAATGCGGTAAATAGGTTTAAACCCATTTAAACTAACCAAATCTAAAAACGAATGAACGCTACTAATATATCTCGCACATTAAATTAGGTGCTATGGGATGCGAAATAAGACTTGTGCTCAAAACAATAACTCCTTCTCAACGGTTGGAGACTCAGACAGATGCAGAAAGACAGCACTACTGCTTGTGACTGGCACGTGAGAAAAAAAAAAATGAATCAGTGAAAGAGAAGAAAGGTCCGAATACCCTCGTGAACCCTCGGTAAACATCGGCGAATAATAGGTACTGCTGCTCATAAACAGCTCTGGTTAACGAAATACCTAGTCGTACCATACTACTTACACACTAAATTACCGACTGCAGTGACATTATAACAGTTTCACTACACAGGCTATCGTTGAATAGTGTCAGATCGGTTCATACAGTCTATCACCCCTCCCCCCTCCCCCCCCCCCGCCCGGCCCCACCCCGGCACCCGGCCGGCAGGACGGCGCCCGTGGCACCAGCGCGGCGGGGTGTGAGGGGTTCCACCTCATATCAGGCACTTCACCGACATTTCAGCTGACATCACAGAAGATGTAACACATAAACAACATAAACACACTTCTAAACTTTCCCAGTTGGACAGTCTGTGTTCGCATGATCTACTTTTTACCGAGCTTTTTAAGGTTAGTTCCACGTTTCTTGCGCTTACCTTGACCTTCGGCGGCAGCAGTCTCACCATCACCGGTCACCGGGGAAGACGGAGCGGTCCCTGTGCCCGGCGGAGCAGGTGACGGTCCCGCACCGGACACCTCAGCAGGCACTCCCACTCCCGGCGACAGAGTGGCAGCTCTCGCCCCCGGCTCCGGCGACTCGGCCGTCGTCTCCTCGGTCGACTCGGCCTCGCCAGCTGCAGTCTCGGCCTCAGCTTCTGTTGCCGTCCTGGTCGACACTTCCGGCTCCGGTTCGGTCTCGGCGGCTTCGGCTTCAGCCCCGGCCCCTGGCACGTCCGGAGAGAACTCGACTGGCAAGCATTGTACCAGAGAGGACATACTTGTACGAAGAACACGGCTTTATTGTGGTTCCAGGACAGACTTCTGCATAGAATATTGACCACAAATACTTTTGTTGCCAAATTTATGAACAGTAGTGATTTGTGTACTTTTTGTGGTAACGAGAGAGAAACCTTAACTCATCTGTTTGTTCTTTGTAATAAGGTACGCACTATTTGGGAATGCATTGAGCGTCGTATTCAGGAAAAACTTGGGATAAACGTAACTTTAGGAAAGGCTGATATTATTATAGGCTTAGATAAAGACTTTCAACTATCGTTAGAAACTATGCGTAGTGTTCAGCGTTTGATTCTGTTGGCCAAATACTACATATATAGAACAAAGGCGGCTAAAGGAATTTTGTCTATTAACTCATTAAATAACTTTTTAAAAATTCTCACAAAGGCGGAATGCATTGGAGTGGATCAGACGATAGGCTCGGAACGGGGGAAGAAGCAGCGTGAGGCACATGTGAACTTGTGTGGGTGAGTGCAGCCGACGTATACTGTGGCCGGATTATGGTACGCGCGCTCTGCCCGCCCCTAACCCAACCCGGCTAACCGGAGGCCGGCCTTATAAAGGGTCGGCCGGCCGACCGGGCGCGCGGTTCGCCACCATCAGTGTGACGGGTCGCGGGCCCGGCCGGCGGCCTGGGGCATCGCCCCAGCGAGGCTGAGTAGTTACGCATTTCGTGGGGCGATGCGGGGCGGGGCAGTATGTTGTGGGTGTTGCGATATAGTGAATGTGTAATATGTCCTGTGCATTCGATTGAGAATACATTAAAAAAAAGCGCCGTGCAATTTATCTATTAGTTCAGACATAATTCCTGAGAAGTCGTCTATCCCTGTGGGGCTGTAGGTATTGGCAAATACGAGCTACAAGTCTGTGAAATATGTAAATAAATTTGATGAAATTGATCGTCTGTGAAATCTGGTCAAATCAATGTGCGCCTTGTGTGCGCCAACCAGTTTTCTCAGTAATTCAGCTAGCAATTCTCGTGCTATGTTCAAAAAGACGTTTACAACTTGAGGGGGCATACTTAAGAAAAACGGACTATAGTTACTGCTGTGTTTCAACCGTAAATAGCTTCATGAATACATGTCGGTCTGTTTTTCGCAGAGTATCCGTACGCCTCTGTGATGAATCCCGAGCTGAGACAGTGGCTCTACCTCCCGGACTACAAGGACCCGCCGGTGGCGCAAAAACTCGTCGGTAGGTTCCTAGTCAAAAGACGTTAGGATACTATTTCTGGCCAACCGTCATGTCTCAGCAGGTCTGTATCTGTATACAGAGGTCTGTGGTTTCAGCAATCTATATTGTATCAGTATCAATCTGTAGACTGTATGTATCTGTCAATCTATGAATCTATCAATCTGTATGTACCCTGCTCAAATTTCATCACCCTCTGCCCGTTCTAACACTTTTCCCGTGCGCCTTGCGCCGTGCAGCGGACTTCTTTCTGCTGCTTTTGGCGTGCTGTCAGCGGCGGGTGTTCAGCCGGGAGGAGTGTGAGCAGGTGCGACAGCTGGCCGGCAGCAACCGGCAGATCGACGAGCAGAAACTCAGCAGCGGATACGTCATCGGCGTGCCCGACTACATCACCAGGAAAGGGTATGTGCCGCCGGGATCTTTACTATGTGTTTACCGAGGACGGGCGTGTGACGGCGGCCATGCGCATTGCCTTATTAGTCAGGGGTTTGTGTCTCTGGAGTAGAGATATGGGAAGTTTTAAGCGATAGATTGTCTTCTCCCTTTTAATTCTGATGACGTTTTATTCATTTTAGGTACTGCTTTTTCAAACATGAATGTGCCGCTGGGCGCTAGTCATTCATGATGCTTGTTAAATATATTGTGCTGTGCGTATCAAATTATGATGCCACCTCAACCTGCTGCCTCGCCCTCGTCTTTAGGACGTACCTGGACGTGCTGAAGCGCGTGGTGTTCTTCTCGTCCTACTGGCTGACGCTGGCCGTCGTCTTCCTGGCGGGTATCAACCGCATCACGCTGCTGTCGCTGCTCTACGTGGCCAGCGCCTTCATCTTCCTCTGGAAGGGCACCGACTACTACCTGCTGCCCTTCAGGGACATCAGGAAGAGGTCAGAGGCGCAAAAGATGCTCTCTGTTGCTTAACCAATTCAATGGCTTTTTGTAGGCGATGGTGAGGTCTGCCTCTGTAAATGCTTCGCAAGTATCACTTGTTTCATATGAACGTCATTCAATGAGGTTTTTAATCTTATTGTTGAGATAACTGAAACATAGCTGGTAAAAATCCGACTTCTGTTTTCTCAAGTATTGCGAGTCATTACACACCGTTTTTATCCCGTACTACGATAAGACTCATCGCTTTGGTGCTTGACGGACTGCCACCCTCCTCTAACACAGGTGGATCCTGCTGCTGACCTACTGCGTGGTGGTGATCACACTGAAGTGCTCCATCTTCCAAATCATGGGCTGCGTCTTCCTGCCGTTCTTCATTGACCACGCGTGCTGGTTTGTTCAGCTGATGGGTATCGGTTGTCTGCAGCGTCTGGAGCCCGGCCTGAGACCCATCACCGAACCAGGTACACGGACTTTTTAATGTTTACGTGCTCCGGCAATGACAATACGCATTTGATGCATCACATATCGTGACAAATCTAGGTGACGTGTGGCCTGTGGGATAGATTCACTTGTTTGATCGCATACTGTAAACAAGGCTAATTTTCTGTCCCTTTTGGAGTGGGACCACGAGTCTAAAACGCGTGATGCCGCTTTACGGGTCAGCTAAAGGAAATAGTTCCACTCCGCTAGCTGGTATAAATCGTGTGTTTTTATCTTTTCGTCAAGTTTTGTGAGCTATCTTTCGCCCCGTGTGCTATTTATCTTTTCTCTCTTTTTTTCTATTTTTTCTTCTATCTCTTCGCCCCACAGCATCCAAGTTTTGTCACCCATTCCCTCCCGGCCGTGTTTCTCAGCCTCGTCGTCCGAGTGTCCGGTGCCGCACTCGGAGGCGGGCCTGCTCTGGGACGGCATCGTGTTCGCCTGTCTGCTGCTCCAGCTGCGCTTCTTCTCCAGCCACTACTTCCAGCACCTGGTGCTGGAGACGCGCGCACAGCAGATGCTGGCCAGCAGGTGCGAGACCATGGTGGAGATCCGGTGGTGCCAGAGTTTACCCGCAATATTGGTGTTATGGTCGTAAACGACTTGATTATTTTGTTGAATAGGTATGCATCAAAATAGGACCGTTTAATGATCTCTATATTGATGTTATTTTGTGTCTTTATGATAACTTGATAGCTTTTGGTCAGTCGTCAACTTTCAAAAAGTCTTGGATGCTCATTCTGGAAAATTTTGTAGCTACGAATCTGTTGTAAATAATGTCGTAAAAGTTTTCTCTTGAGTTTTAATTTGTGATGTGCGTACATCAGCGGGGCGGAGATGATTGAGCGGGAGCGAAAGAAGAAGATCGAGAAGCGGCAGGCCGAGGAGGAAAAGGCGATGGCCGACATTCGTCGTAAGATGGAGCGGATCAAGGAACAACGCATTCAGAAACATCGCCAGAAGTACGACAACCACTACCAAGGTAGGAAAATGGGGACGGGGGCGGGCACTCCACTGGGAGGGGCGGGATTAACCTCTTTTTGTAATGCGCGCAGGTTTTGCGGTTAAGTCTGTTTGGATTTCACGATTAGGGAAGGTTAATGGACTCGCGTATATGAACGGGAAAAGATGTCTTTTTGGTAACTTTTATGGAGTAACAAGCTTTACATTTTTTCGTTTTGCTGAGAATGCCTGTTTATTTTTGTTCCGAACCACACTAACACCTTTGACGAGATTCATTTTCATTGGCATGTGTTTTTTCTTATTCACAAATTCACAACTTTGTACCGGGTTTGCGTTTATTTTTTCACGTACTTTTGAGGATTGCATAGGGTTATTGGCGCTCGATGTCCCCTCTTTGTGTTCCTTTCACTGTTCTCTCTGCCCCGTTCGTCGTGGCTCACTAACATTCGTCGCTGTACCGCTGATCCTTTGTGGAGGAGGTACGAAGCGTCTACGTTTTATTTAATCTATTGGGAACAGGGCTTTCCCTTCAGCACCGCGCACACTAACGCCGTGTTGGGGGTCTCAGTGTGGTGGTGTTGGCTATGCATGTGATACTGAGTTTGAAGTGTTTAACCCTAACCAGTGATCTGACCCACTGTTGATGATTTTTTGGGATCTACGATTGACACCTGTCTGAACCAGGCAGGAGCGATGACCGCTGATTTTACTATTGTTGGTTTGACGATTGATGTGAGCTACTATCTCGGTATTTATTCAGGCTTCCCTGGTGCCTCGCCTGGATGATATCCTATGACCACTTTTTAGACTTCTCTCTTGTTTTACTCTCATTTTTGTGTGTTAATCATTCCATGACAAACGGATCTGAGGGCGTCTTTTAAGCATTTCGATATAGTTATTCGAACGTTTCCATTGTTTTCTTTTCCTCTACTGATGTCTTTACGTCCGCATGATACCATCCATATTATTTCGTTCGGTGTTATTTCATGTTTTTTATATGCCGATACCGTGCGCCACCACACCCGCGTGTGACCAGTGTGGTGTGATATTAGTCCTCTCCTGTCCTTCGGCCGTAATCGGAGCTCCTTCCCCACTCCAGTGTGGCTGGTGTGAAGTGACGCCCGGCCTCGCTACCAGGCCAACAGATGGCAGGCCGGGCGTCACTTCACACCAGCCACACTGGAGTGGGGAAGGAGCTCCGATTACGGCCGAAGGACAGGAGAGGACTAATATCACACCACACTGGTCACACGCGGGTGTGGTGGCGGTGCACATTACGCAGCGTATACTTCAGAAGACATCCGAAGAAAAACACGGGGCTGATAGGCTGCATATGGTTTAGTTTTGGTTCGGATGATTTTCGTTTCAAGATTGACCTCTTTTGGATGCAGGTTTTTCTGTTTTGCTTTTATTCCGTTAGTAACGATCCAATTTTATCCTGAAGTCCTCGTCATGCCATCTTGTAGAACGGTCGGTGGCATGATTTCGTCTGATCCTAGCTATGCCTCAATTTGTATTATCCACATTTTTACTGGGACGCTGCTAGCCCTTGGCCGGCTCCTAAATCATTTTCTTTTGATGAGCACAAAGTACCTATCTGATAAATTCCGTTCGGTTTGATCCCTCAATTCTGATATCTGTGCAGGCCTGAATAATCCTTCTGTTGTTCGAGCTGCCTCTGCAAAATTGTCCCGAGAGCTGAGGCTTGTTTTTTTTTTTAGTAGAGAAACACTTTTTTATTGAAAGCAAACCTTCGATCACCTAATCACATGCCATTCAGTCCTTTTCACTTTTTTGTCCACTGATAACATTTCCTGTAGCATTTTAATCTTGCACCAGCTCAAACATTTCCCCAGCCCACCACCCTCCCGGTCTCTCTCCACCCACTCATCTCCCACTAACCACCTTGGCTCGCCCCGAACCGACCCCGGAACGGCAGCCGGCACCGACTCTCTGGTCTCCACTCCGCTCAACTCTCTGGCCACGGGCCGGGTGTGGGGCGAGCGCAGCCCGCGGCTGTCCCTAAACCCGCCCACGGCCGGAACACCGTCCTCCACGGCGCCCACCTTCTCCCTGGACGGCTTCATGGAGGCGTCGACGTCGGTGGCGCACGGCCTGCCGACGGCCAGCGAGGCCTCGTCGGTCTCGTCGACGCCGGCGCCGCCGCTCGAGCCGCCGCCGCCGGCGCTGATCGGATACGGTAGCGCTGCGCGGACGAGGA